CTTATAAACAGTACTTCTTCTTTTATAAGAACAAAGCAGTATCACCAAAGCAGAAGCCTGAATGACAGTACAGTCCACAACATGGGAATAGAAGCATCACTTTCTGAAGTACTTTGGAGAACTGCATTTAATGTTGATATTTAACATTAGTTCATATTTACTGAGCTTCAATTAAATCCTGTAAACCTTTTTTCTTTGTTTGTTTTTAAGCTGAAAGTGAAATTCAAAATTTTTCCTAATTTAATAACCAAGAGTCACATTAACAGCAATACCTCCTTACTGATACTTCCATATTACAGGAAAGTATTTGTCAGCTAAACAAGCCAACCAGGAGTTGTCTGTTTCAGTCAAAACTTAATTTTCTCATGAAAGCTAAGAACATGCACATCTACCTAGGAAAAACAGCTCTAAACTTGGCAAAACAGACAGGGTATAGGTTTAGTTTTTACTGCAGTATCTGTACCAGTACCAACAGTACATAACTTCTTCCTAGTCAAACTACCTCAATAAGCCAACAGAAAATTCTTGGGAGATGAAATACTCAGTAATCCAGAATCCAGAGCAGGTTTGAATTTTCTACTTAACGTCTAATTCATGTTGTGATGCTGTTATTCTAGAAAGCAAAATAACATTTCCTATCTTCTTTTCTTTTTTCTGAATCCATGGGCAAAGAAGCAGTATCGATAGCCTTGTATTTTAATTGCTGGTGCAAAACTATTCAGTCTCCCATTTATTGATTGATAATGCTCTGACAATCCTAGGAAAGGTTTAACATATTTATTTTTATGATTTCCATATGTAAATCAGACATTAGGACAGGGCTAGAATTACAACTTAAATTTCCCTGCTCCCCCCCATGATGAAGAGATACAGTACACAGCTTTCACAGTAGGATAAAGTTGATGAAAGTCATTAAAATAGAACTTGCTGTACAGTTGCTGAGAACCACACTCTTGTTTTCTGCAGTTTCAGCATTTCCAGAACTTGCAGGAAAGCATAAATAGACTACAACAATGAAACAGAGCTCCACCAGAGATCTGAGACAATGTGCGCAAACACAGGAACTTCCCTTTTTCAACTCTTGGTAGTCCCTGATTTGTAGAATATCCTACATCAGAAGGCTTAGAAGATGTACACTGGACGTGGGAAAGTGCTAAATTTGCCCTTGACTAAATTTTGAGTTTATATTTCCAGAATTTAATCAGACTGTGACTATGGTGAGGATTGCATGTTCTATGTAAGTGAAGAGAATGTCAGCACTCAAGGTGTGAGAATCTATGTTGTGTGAATGATTTTGAACACAAACAGCACCTGTATAAACTCCCACTAAGCTTCAAGCCTGCAACCTTTGGCTCTGATACAACACTGCTGTTGGTGCCCTGAGGTACAGGCATAACTTTACTCACAAGAGGAAGTTTTTTCACACATCACAGACTGTTAAGAGTCCAGAAATTCTAGTGAAGAGCCGTGTTCCAACTGTAATGTTTTCCCCCCATTGCAGCTCCAAGGAAAATTAAAATCTACCCTGTGTACTGACCAGAGTGCAGAATTGAGGACAGAGCCCAGTTTTATCCTTACACCTCCCCTCTCACAACTGATCTGACAGCTCCCTCAAACTCTCAGGCAATGCCCGCAACTGCTGCAGAGTTTTCAGAGGCATGTAACTGCACAAAGGGAAATCCTTCTTTTTAATATTTATAATCTTGACAAATCTGAGTGATAGTCATGGGAAAAAAAGAAAACACCTCTTGTGTAGTTCAAGTGCTCCTGTCAAATATCCAAAGATCTGCCGCAAAAAAAAATGGACAGACTCTCTCACAGGTCATAACAATCCTTTCAAGGAGAAGTTAGGGTATATCTGTGCAGGTTTCACACATGGTATTGCCTCATAATATAAAGCAATACTAATTTAGAAACAAGTACGGGTGTAGCTATAAAACTCCCAAATAAATACATACTAATGACAAAAGTACTTCTAGTGTTACAGTTTATAGCTGTGGATAAAATGGGAGAAGAATTTGTATTGTGGTAATTTTAGACTGACAGACATTTCTGACGTGTAGCATTATGAAATAGAAAAAAGAAAAGCCCTAGAACGTGCAGAAATAACAAAACTTATCTCGATTCAGGGTGATTTCCATAATCTATTTGATCTATAAACTGGTCAAACAACCCAAATTGCTGAATCATGCACTTCTTCCTCCCAACTCAAACCATATTCAATGTTTCCTCCAACTCTGATTTAGAGGCCTTAAACATTAAATTAGTCACTTGCAATCTATTTTTTTGTTTCAAGTCCTTTTTTACTCTTAAGTACATTTACTTTGTGGGATTTCATTTTTTTTCCTTAGTTTTCCAATAGAGAGATAGATTACAGCCACTTGTCTGCAGAAGTAAAGACAGAGAAGAGGGAGTTTAAGCTACGGTATCTGGAGCTTTTACAATAACTGAACAAACTGTTTACATATTTCTGCCTTAGTTTCCACTTGAAGCAGAATGGTATAACTCAGTCCAATCCATCTGTGTAGAAGACAATTATTTATCAGCTTCCTTTTGGCAAAGATTTCTTTCACCTCTTATTTTAAGGCACTGAGGGTACCAAGGTGTTTCCTGCTCAGCCATTTATCACAGCAGGCTTATGATTTATTTTCACAAGAAACACAAGACAAAAAGGATATCACAGAGAGCACAATGCCCCACAGTAAAAGGAATATAACTCTAATAGCTACCAAGACAGGGTTCCAGCGCCGAATATTCTCCTACTAAAGCAAGCACTGTCAATGCATGTTTAGTCACAGCATTGTCCAGACTGCTGACATATTGAGGAATAACTGCCTCCTCCCCATTTCCCCCCAGTTACACTGTTACAGTCATTTGAACAAATTACATCTAACACCAGAGATTACCAACAGTTTTATATACACACAAACACATATATATGCACACATGTACAAACATTCCTCACCATGTAATTAAAACTCTAGATTTCTTCTGTCAGGTCTCACCTTCTCAAAGGTGTGTGCATGCTGTTCCAAAATCTAGTTTGAAGAAATTAACTCTTATACGGCTTCCACATTCATTACTAGATTAAGACTCTTCCATTGTAAGAAACAATTAGCATCAACTGGTGAAGCTCGTTAATTTGGTTGAGATTTGAAATTGATACTAAGTTCACAATAACTTTGAAGTCCCTACAGACTTGACTTTTTTCTTTGCTGATACAACAGATATGTTCCTACTTCCTCCAGGAAACATGTAATTAAATTCCAGAGTTCATTAAGTGTTTGTGCTTTGCCTATTCCCTGGGCTGCATGATGAAAGGTTCTGGACAAGTGAGCATGGTGGAAGCTAAACATTTAAATCATTCAAGGATAAAATTTTGACTTCTATCATCTAAAATAAATCTGAACCTTTTTTAAAAACTTCACCTTTTCCTTGAAGATTTAAAAGAAGAAAGTTACACCCAAGAGGACTTTGAACTTTCTTCCTCTTAAATTTATCTTTATAATTTGTAAACACTGCATCTTCTCAGCACAAGGAATTAATCAGTTCTTCTCTGAGCTACTCAACCAATCCACTTTCCATTTTCCTATCCAAACATCTGTACTTGCCCTCCTCCATCTGCTGTTCTTATTGTTGAATTAATTTACCATCTCAATCGCTGCAATTTCCTTCTCAGTTTCATTAGACAATAGATTGGTGCTTTCCTGAATGAGGATGCCTTCCATCTTTTCCCCTTCACTAAACTGAGGTGAGAAGAAGAAACACAACTAGCAAAGGCTCATGTCCTTGGCTTTAAGAGAAATTTATTTTGTTTTATTCTCAGAAACTCATCCATGCTAATTTTTCCAAGATTAAAATTAAAATAATAAAAAATAGTAAGACAAATGCAAAGACAAGCCAAGAGCAAGGGTTCCTACATATTTTTTTTCCCTCAGAATATTCTGAGTTTGAAGGGACCCACAAAGATCGAGTCCAACTCTTAAGTTAATGGCCTGTATGGGGGTTGAACCCATGACCTTGACTTTTTTAGCACCATGCCTTTTTGAAGCAACACAAACACATTCCTGCAAACACATTCCTACTAGAACCATTGTTAAGCATTCACTGCCTGTGTGCAGTGTTAACCACTAGGCCATTTTCACTGTAGTTAATAAAGTAAATGTTCTGAGATGCTACCAGTACCCAAAGCTGTCAATTCTCGACACATTTTAGTCATATATGTACTGCCCAAATTATACAAGCCTGGAAATGTAAGAATCTTAAACAAACAACAAAACAAATCTTCAGTACATGAATTCTACAAGTGGAAGACTCAGAAGGCAATAAAGAAAACTGACAACTTATTTCTTTGAGTCTCACTGTTTCATGAGTTGGTGGAAGCCAAGAATGACCTAATGGATCAGACTGAGGAACAGAACTTTCCCAACAGCAGACTCAGCAGCTTCAAAACCAAACCATTCTACCATTTTATCATACTGATCTACATTGAAATATAAGGATTTTTTTAGACAACAAATTTAAGTAATTCCTAGTTTCCCTGTAACATGACTAAAATCTGAAATTTCTTGGGTATTTTTTATTATTATTTGAATGGTATGTGAGCAAATGGAACTACGAATCTCATACCAACAGTTAATACCAGATTGACCTGACTCATACAATGGTGCTAAACCCCTTATACACAGACTTTCAGTTCTGCTTTGTGTAGGATCCTCTTTTGCCATTACCAGCACATCAGTGGCTTACAGTAGCATGCAAAGCATCATAAAATTTAGCTACTAGTAGTTTGCATTCCTCTCTAACCCTTCTCCCAGGAAGAGGACTGTATGTGTGATATTTTCTTCTTTTATAATGTTTGATTTATTTTTTTAAATTATAAGCATCAAGCTTGATGTGACCTTTTCTTTTACACTCTCAGGGGAAAAAAACATGTGGAAGTGTTGTAGAATATACTTGTTTCCTTGTGGACATTTAATGCATAATCTAGAAACACTCACCTGCAAAATTAATAACTCTGCTTCCGAAGTCCTCCCTATGCTTTATTTTCTCAATCACAGTCTTGGGTTTTGAGCCATTTGCAATCTAAGGACTCCTTTTACAATACTAAGCCTTGTGCATCTTTAAAGTACTGGAAATAAGTGGTGATCTGACAGAAATCCAGGACTGCTCTACAAATTGAAAAGAAAAAATGACAAAACGCAATTGTTAAAAACAGAGATATTACACTGTTTGGGTAAAATGTGAGGTGATAGCCTCTCTGACTAAAACAACAAACACACCAACATTAAGCTCTGTCCTATCAGTGTCTCTGGATATCCATCTCCCACTATTATTGAAATACATTTACTAAAACAAACCTCTTTATCAATTCTTCCAAGAATTTTAAAATATTATCTTAATAACATATTTACCCCTGAAGATGAAACCTGGTCCAAGTTTTTTAGGTTGATGGGAACAAAAGCCAACTCTCCTGCAATTCCTTAAAATACCATATTAGGATTTTTGTTGCACTGCTCCCCTCCTCTATTTATTTATATCCCTCCCCACATGAGGGCTTAAAACATTGGGGAAAATGCTTCTGCTGTAGTCACAGCTACCCCAGCCACTCTGGAGTTTGCTTTGTGTTCCCCACTTCTCATTTCATATATGCTAAGCAGAGGACTGAGAAAAAGCATGTGGCCACTAACAACCCTCCTTGTGACTCCTTCAGCAAGGTGCTTCACTCAGTGTGCCCTCATTTACACTTCTGACCCTTGGCCTTTCTACTTGCAAGTGCAATCCACTCCCAGCAGTGTGGCTCACTATGTTTTTGAGGGAGGGCTACTCCCACGTTTGGGACAAAGGCACAATCATCCCTTGGTTAGTGCTAGAAAGAACAGCAACCAATACCAAAGGCCCAGAAAACAGCATAAGGTGGAAGTTTCACAGCCCACTTGCCTTGTTAAGGGGCTGCTTGCTTGCCTCCAGCAACCTGCCACTCATAGTAAGTCAGAGATGGGCAGTGCATTTAACACCCTTACAAAAGCCTGTCCCAGTTTCCATGTAGTTGTCTGAACCAGTATAGGCTACTGCCAGCCACACTAGCCTAAAGAAATTAAGTTTCAAAATTTAGCTGTGCCTTACTTAAAAAAATAAATTAAAAAGCCATCTCGTTTTGCTTACAACCTACCACCCAACAATGACATTGAAAACTCTTTATTCTTCCATATGAGTAGGAAATGGCACTGTTCTCATTCTTTAACAGGAATTAGAAATTAGAAAATTTGAACAGACAGCTCTATTGTAATTTCACTGTTTTCTGAGTAGTAAACACAGAGCCCAGCCCATCAAAGTATGTAAAATAAGAATTTGTTTCCCCTTACGCACGTGTCTTGCAGTTGTCAGTCTGAAATGCCATCTGCTATCCAATCACACTTGTTGAAGCTTTCTGCTACCAGCTTCCAGTTTTAGGAACTAAATTCGTATCAGTAATTATTTTAAGAGTTTAAGAGTGTCGATTAAGACAACAAAACAAGAACTCTCACCAATTTCTAAACCAATAACATATCAAGGCTAATCTTTTAAAAATCTTGACATGTTAATTCTATACAGATAAGAAAAATACAGGTGCTTGTTCAAAAGCTGATTGGCAATTCAAGCATTACTAACTACTGCCTTTATCCCTATTTAAGATACAACAGAAGCAAAACCCAATTAAGAGCTTTCTGGTAGTCAACTTCTCTTGCCTTTAATCTTCCCTCTCATCCATTTCCATTCTCATGCTCCTATGTATCTTTGCCTCTTCTACTGAAGGCAATAACCCCTAGAGTCAATACTTCTGTATCTGGTGCTTGTCCAAATCCTTGTTACTTGATAACAACCACAAGGTCCTCCTTCACAAACTAACTTTTCACAGCCTTCTGGTTCTGTATGCATCCAATCTGAACCACAACAAAAGTCACGTGTATTTTCCATATAATTTTCTACCCTTGATTTTTTTTTTTTTAAATTTTTTTTAGAGACAGGAAGTAGGTTAATGAGTTCCGATGTATTCAGTTATGCCAGATACTTACTCAGCTGGAACATACACTGACTGCAACTGATCAAATCTCTCATTCAGTTATGGTCTGGAGCTATTTTACATAGGGTATCACAACATTCTAGGTCCCTAACTTAAAAAAAAAAATTTCCAAGAAAATTCCAGATCTATTTTAATGATTAAAATAATTTAGAAAAGAGACATAGCTCACTAAAACATGATCAGAAATAGCAACTTGATATTTACAAAAACAGTGAAAGACAGTACTGCAACTGTAAATATTGTATAGAACAGCTTTAAAAGAATAACTGCTTTCATTATAAGCTGAAGTCAATACATTATAAAGTCTGAAAACAACTTTCAGCTCTAGTTAAGATACAAGAAAGTTTTTGAATATCATATATAACCACCCAGGAAAATGCAAACAGATCTAGACAACTCACACAGGCCTCATTGTACTCAGGAGAAATAAGGAAGAAAAAAAACCCAACCCAATAAACAAAACTCCCAAACCCTGAATTCATTCCCCTCATCTAAAGTACTACAGCCGTTCCAAAGAGGTTAACTGTGTTTGCACTAGTTTATTTGTATACTAAATGCAAGATAAAAGATCTCTAGGCGAAATATAAGAGATTGTATCTTATTTTTGGGAAACAAACAGATTCCAGAGGTGTATTCTCGCCCAGCCAATCCCGAGGCTGTCGTGCAGCTCTGCCACCTCTCCAAGCCCAATCACAGCCACGAAGGGAAACTCGTTTTGCAGTTTGTCTCAGCCGGTGCTGATGATGAATGGCTCCTTCAGGGGGAGAGATCAAGCTGTGTGGTAAATCTTTCTATTTCTTCCACCTGCTTTTCTATTTTAAAAAGCTGTAGTGATCAGCTTGGCACTCTACATTAAGTACATATGAATTTCATAACAGAAAACACTTATGTAAGTGAAAGCATGGCTTACATTTGTTGTCCCATTCTCAAAGTGAACACTGCAACTTCTGCAAGCTCAGAACTATCACTATTACTATTACTTTGTATCTACCTTCCAGAAAAGATACAGCATAATATAGCTTGATTTTACAGCTTTCAGATGGTCAGCTTTGCAGCCATAGCACATTTCAAGATGATGTCATTCTCCACCTTCCCTCTGCCTAGCTCCACTTTGCAATACAACTTGTAAGATGACAGGAGAAGTAATATGAAAACAGAGTATGTTTATCAGGCTATGCCCTTCAAATACACAAGGGCCTATCCTACAAGCCTTACTTATCTTGTAACTGTGCTGAGGTTGTGCTAGTGTAAGGTATGCCAATCCAGCCTGGCTCCAAAGGTCACCATTTTAAAGGAATGCTTTACAATAAAGCCCATTGCTGATTTCTAAGCTAAAAGGACAGGTAAACAAACTGAGACAAGCAACGGGGGTTTTTTTCCCTTTGGTTATCAAACCATTCCTGACTGGTCAGATTGCTGTTTGGCCAAATCCTGCTTTCCCTTAAACTTCCGCTTTGTTGTTCTTTATATCCTGACATACTGTGCAGCACTGCTGTGTTCTGCTAAACAACCTCCTTGCTCCTCAAAGCTAACTACATTTCAGTGGCCAGAAAAAAAAGCTCAGCGTCTTGATATCTACCCTAGCCCCAAACTGAAATGTCTTAGGATTCTAAGGAAGGAAAATGCAAGCACATGTAGATTCAAAAATGGTTATTCTCACCTCCTATTACTCATGCTCTATTTCTCTCCCATCGACTTAAATTCAGTTTCTTTGGAAGTCCGAACAAGTTTAGCCACTTCTGAATTAAAGCGCATGAAAAGTGAAGTGAAATGGCAATAAAATGAAATGGCAAGTAACAGCACTGTAGCAGCACTGTAGCAGCCTTTTCACAGTCTCAAAAGAAATTACATCTCTTAGGTGAGTTAATTTCCACCGTATTCCATCTATATATAATTTTCATCACATTATTATGTCATGCTATAGAAGTTTCCTAAAGTGCACTAGTGTATAAAAGTTAACTGGAAGCATTGCAATTTCAACTAAATATATCTCTGTAACTTCATCCTAGCAGCTCTTCCCATAACTTATAATTACTGTAAAGTTCCATGAGCATTACTTGCATTTTACAGACAAGCAAACTGACGGGGCTATAACTCATTTGAGATCACACAGCAAATCAGAGAGTGGCAGGGAGAGGAGCAGAACTCATCTGTACTGCCAGGCCATTCCCAAAACTGTTACGCCCATTTCAATATTCCTGAAGCAGCAGAAGGTACACTTTAGGGAGAAATGCCAGAAGATCTCTTAGCAAGGACTCTTGAGAAGTCAGAGAGAACATTCACATGCCACATCCTTGAGAGATTATATTTCTGTCCCCTCCTTGCAACCAACTTATAAAGTACTTTTCAACAGCAGGACACTTGAATGTGAATCTGACACCGAGCTGGCAAAGGCTTCAGAAGTTAAGATATGATCCTAAAGGTTAACTACAGTATCTTTGACTAGCAGAATTTAAAGCTGACAAGTTTACATATTCGTTGTAAAACTTTGCAAGTACAAAGACTGAACAACAAAATAACCAGAATCCCAGTGTTAATCTCTTAGGAAAAAATAAGAATTTTACTTTAATAATCTATAATAATCTAATTTTATTAGAGAACTGTCTATTTATACACTTTATTATTTCATACATTTCATTTTAGAGAAGATTTTAATATTTAAATAAGTTAAAAGGTTGTTAAAGAAACTTAGCACCTTTAAGAATAATTCTGGGGCAAGGAACATAATTTTCTGTGCTCAGGCAGACCCAAAGGAGACAATTTGAATAATACTATGATGAGAGCAGCATATACAGTTACATCATCCTACCAAGGGGTTTTCTTTTGGTTCACTACTAAATATTGGAAAAATAGTGCAAAATGCCTCTGCACAGGTATCTTGAAAAAATCTTTGTCAAAATAACAAAACAAAAAAACCCAAACAAACAAAAAACATTCTAACTACACTTACCTGCTTTCAGCAATATCTTAGGTTTATGCCGATGATCCTAAATTGTCACACCCTGTCAAGGAGCTGCAACACTAAACTGTGACTTCCCATAGGCTGACAGATTTTTCTTTCATTTGAGATTTCAGGCAGTTCAGCACTGTTTGCTTTATTTCCTCACCTCACCACCCCCTGCCCTGCCTCAGCAGTACCTTCTTCTGTCATGCCATTGTGCGTCAGAGGGGTGCGTTACTACAGCCCCGCATCCTGCGTGATGCAAGCGTGTGCAATCTGGAAGTGCTGTGACTGACACAGCCCCGGCGTGGTACGTGCTTTGTGGGCACACCGAGCTGGGCAGATCCTGCCTGTACAGTCAATACAGAAATCAATAGCTTCATGGAGAAAGTACCGGTGGAACTGAAGAGATTTTCAAAAACAATGTGTTGATTTCATGGCACATCATGAGATATTGTAGGAAAACAGTACAACGATGGCAAAGGAGGAAGTAAGAGCAATGAGATGATGACAGAATACAGAAGGGAAAAACTGAAAGGGGTTCAGTTTAGGATACACTGACTAAGGTAGTCATCAAGTCATCACACATGAATTTGATCTCTGCTCAGAGAGCTCAGACAGAAAATAGAATCTGCAAAACAGAGACCAGAAATGGTCTGCCTCAAAGGAAATGAATGCCAAGAACAGTGATGAGTTTGATCATGTAGAGTAAGTGTAAAAAAAGCTAAAACAGTAACACCCTGCACATTTGGTTAACATGAACATAGAGAATTTGCACAAAAATACTACAGTTAAAAATCTGTATTAGCCTGGGAATAAAGATATTTACTGAATGAATCTTACCATTCACGTTGCTTTCGTTTAAAAAACTCTGCCAGCCTAATATTTGCAAGTTCTGCTCTTCCCTTACAATCCCTGGCTGTAGAGCTTAGTGAAATGATTGGGTGCTAACTGCCAAGTATTCCTGTGCCTTAGCAGGATACATGCTACTTCATTCCAATAATATGATTTTATTTGGCAGTTGGTACAAAATAGGCACGAAGCTTATGATTCACTACTTGGTTGTCTCAACAGTCTAACACTGAATGTTCTTTCTCCTCATTCCATGAAAGCCTAATGCCAGAGTTAAGTATCTGATTTCCCCTTTAGCTTATGTTCCCCCAAACAACTGGGTCCACTAACTTAGAAAGGGTCCACATGGAACAAGCCACTGTGGGATAAATAAATGTACACTGTTTCGGCCAGACACATTCCCAGATTTTGAGCAGAGAGAAATCAAGTACTGTCATCCTTACCAGATTCCATTTTGCCTAAACTGCCTCTTTCCCTGGTTCTACACGCTAAGTGTAATTATATACAGTAAAGGGCTGAATAGAACCTGTCCATCTTTTCAAGGACATTGATAAGAATCTTAAAAGGAGGGGGTTTTGTTTGCCTTTGGGTTTCTTGCTTGTTTCTCCATTTGGTATTCTGAAGATTAAAACTTCACAGAAGAGGGAAGGAATTGCCCCAAAGGAAGCCTGCTAACCTGACAATGGGCCAGCCTTCAGTTCTATGCTAGCTATTCCAGAAACAACAACCAGCCAAACAAAAAACCTCACACCATTTTGAAGTTCCATATTTATAACTCCAGGCTTCTGATGTTCATAAAAGCTTTTACAACTAGGAGGTCACTAAACAGTCACCCCAGGTATTGTATAACTAATTAATGTCACTTGAGGGATGTGGGGAGATATTAGCCCAGTCTTATGGGAAAACAGGGAAAGAAGTGGCCATCATGAGCCACCTTCTTTAATCTACTGCCAATAGATTAAACCAATAATTGTCTGCAGCACCACTGGATGTTTGGCATTTGCTACATTTCCTTCCTTTCTAAAATCTTTTAAAGAAAAAGTTTTGAAGATGCTGGAATATATGCCTTAGCATGCAGGCATGCTTTAACACAGAAGGAAGAGTAAACATTAATAAGAGCTGTCACCAGAGCAAGCTCCCACAACTGCAAACAGTCAATTTACCACCATCTTGTGAGTTAAATCTTGTCACTTCAGCCACAGCAACTGACAGTACAGTCCCTGCTTGACCTGTGTTACACAGTAAATGAGATAAGTCAGTTTTGATAAATGAGCTACTCCAAAGTTAATGGTAATTTAGTTCACAAGTAATCATGTGATATTACCCTAAAATCAGAAGGCCTGAGTATGAAGTGAATTGTTACAGCCTACCCTGTGAGTTCAGTCACAGGAAAACATTCACTTGCTCTTCAGGTTGCAGATTTTCATGCTACTGTTCATAGAACCTCTGATATTTCAGGATGCCCATGGCCATCCACGATGAGCAAGATTCAACTGCACACAGATCTAAGGTTGAATGAAGCTCTGTTAAAGAGCTGAAAAATGGTAATATCACTAAAGAGACATGTATTTCATCTCCTATTGTTTGATGTAATTAGGAGATGGGGAAACAAAAAAGCCTCTGCACCTTTAATACATGCTATTATGTCATCTAGTTGCATGTTTGCTAGAGGCTTACTTCATTTGGCCTGAATATAAACTTGGAAGAACTTCAGGTTCTTTTAATGGTAATGATCTAGTTCCTGCATAGTACAGTCAAGTGAAAAAGCCTGACATGGGAAAATTTAAATAGCAACAAGAGTACACAGTTCTCTTCAAGAAGAATTTGAGCTTCACCCTGTGTTAAACTCAGCACTCAACAATACTTGTTGACACTCTTTTGCTCTTCCTTCAGACTGTTCTGCTGGTTCTGTAACCCTGTTTCAGCCACTTAGCTGCTGTAGTGCAGGTTATTCACATCTCACTGCACTCAGATTTTGAAAGCAAGTCGCAAATCTACTCAAGACCAATTTTTTCTTTTCCAGGTGCCAAACTATTCTATGAAGTTCTACACAAACATCACTGATATTTTAAAGAACTGTTCTTCTTTTCCTTTGATGATAACTTCTAGATGAGAAGATTTTTCTCCAAAACTGAAGATAAATAAAGAGAAAACTTACAAAAAAATACCAAGAGACACCAAGTTTTGATTTAGACCTTCACCAAGAGCATGTAGCACCTTTCAGCTATAAAGGAAGAATGAACCTACAGTGCCCTCAAGAGTGAGGGGACATGAACTGGAAGAAGTCTGGAGATCAACTAGGAAGAGGAAAGCTCTCAAGCCTTCAGAAAGGACCCTCACTGAATAAAACCATACTTACCTGTACAGGGGAGGGGAGGATAATTGTCCTTATGCATTAGGACAAAGTATGT